GGGCGCTCGTCTGAAAATGAGGGACGGCGCTGGGCGCTCGTCTAAGAATGAAGGACGGCGCAGGGCGCTCGTCTAAAAATGAGGGACGGCGCTAGGCGCTCGTCTACAAATGGAGGACGGCGCTGGGCGCTCGTCTAAGATGAGGGACGGCGCTGGGCGCTCGTCTAAGAATGAAGGACGGCGCAGGGCGCTCGTCTAAGATGAGGGACGGCGTTGGACGCTCGTCTAAGATGAAGGACGGCGCTGGGCGCTCGTCTGAAAATGATGGACGGCGCTGGGTGCTCGTCTAAAAAATGAAGGACGGCGCTGGGCGCTCGTCTGAAAATGAGGGACGGCGCTGGGCGCTCGTCTACAAATGGAGGACGGCGCTGGGCGCTCGTCTAAGATGAGGGACGGCGCTGGGAGCTCGTCTGAAAATGATGGACGGCGTTGGGCGCTCGTCTAAAAAATGAAGGACGGCGCGGGGCGCTCGTCTGAAAATGAGGGACGGCGCTGGGCGCTCGTCTACAAATTGAGGACGGCGCTGGGCGCTCGTCTAAGATGAGGGACGGCGCTGGGCGCTCGTCTAATCCGCATGTATGGTCTTGCTTCGTCCATAATGTGTAGTATTTGCCTGATATGTACTTAGTATTGTTGTGGGGATTTCATTTTTTGTTGCTCGAGGACGGCGAGTGCGCGCGGTCCTCGGCTTCCCTCTTTTATTTTTTCTTTTTCCTTTTTTTTATTTCCGTTTTCGTTCCCTATTTCGGGGAGTATCCTTCTTTCAGGCTTCGGCCGAAGGGTGTGCTCGTCCTTCGGCCGGTTCGAACTTCGTTTATAACGTCCGTGATCTCAGGGGGGTCCCGTCGCCTATTTATGACGCGGGCTAGACTTTTGGTTGGTTTCCAACGGCTGCCGTTGCCCATCCCTGAGTTTTGGGATTTTGTCACCTCGGCCATGATTTCAGGCCTGTCGTCCTGCAATCTGGCGCGTGGACGGCGCGGTGAGCTTCCCGTTTCAAGACGTGGGCCGTTTGCGGGCCCCTCGTCCTGGGGACATCGTCGGCCATACCTGAGCGTTTCACTCTAGGCTTACGGGGCCAGGACGATGTGCTCTCTCAGCTAGGCCTGAGCCCTTTGCTGATACAAAATACAATGGAGTATGCCTGAGCCTTTCGCTCGAAGGCTACTGATACGACACGTGGTATCTTCTATTTACATTTCCAAAAAATAAGCGGAATACAATAGGTGCGTTGTTCATGGCAACGGCTTTTGGGCGACGCGATTAGCGTCTCGGAGAACGAGGTGTACCGTTTACTGCTCTTGGGCATAATTCCATGTGCGGCCGGTAGCGGCTCTCATTTTTAGATGCCCGAGTCACCAAATAAAGGTGGCTAGGGTAGGTCGAGGGACCCAAATATAATTCAAATCATCAAATAAAGATGGTCGGTAGACTAGAGCTCGGGCCCACCACTTTGGAGTTTTTTGACCCGCTCTAATAGCGATGATAAAAATAATAATGCCAATAATAATGCATCATTAGCGACCTCGGGAAATTTTAATTCCTCATAATGGTCTTCACCACCTCGAGGGTTTTTAACCCGCCATAATGGTGGTGGAAATAATATAATTAATAATAGTAATAATTATACTACTATCACTTAATAAATATTGTAAGTGTATAAATAGGAGGAAATTTGGGGTACTTAGCTTCTTCTTGGGCTGAAGTAAATGATGGGCTGCTTGGGCTGATGAAAAGAATTGGGCCATCACTCTATTGGGCAACTCCAAAAATGGATTGACCTAGTTGATGGGAATCAACTTTCACGGAAGGGAAGAGCCAGCTTGTTGGCAGGCAAGATTCCAAGTAGCACACTGCTACTTCACCAAGCAGATCCGGCAGCAGAGAAAAATTGGCCAGGAGCAAGCTCACTCCTGGTAGCGCCGGCGAAGCTTCCTTAGCGCCGGTGACGCACGATAGGCTCTTCAAGTTGATTCAGCAGTGGATTTCCGATCTTTTACTCCTGGAGCTCTCAACGGCCATTAATGGCGATTGCTTAAGGTCAAGCTCTAGCAACTCTGTCAAATGACTGTGAAGATGGTAACTGCGGCCTAGGTTCGAACGTTTGAGCTGCGACGGAGACCCGTGCGGTGGCGAAGCGACCAAGCGCGGCGTGGCAAGGCTGTGGAGCTCGTACTTGGTACAACGAGCTGCAGACGATGGGCATGACGGCTTCGGCTCCGACCTGGGGACTATAGCTTCTGCCGTTGGCGTGCGGCGGTGACCAGGACGGCGAGATGTCTCCGGCCTCTGTCTGAGAAATCCCAGAGGCCCATGCTTTTTCCATTTCTTTTTTATTTGCAGTTTGTTTTTCTTTTTTCAGACTGATTTTTTGGCTCATTTCTTTGTATTTTGGATGAATTTGTGATCTTTTTGGGAGGGTTTCTCACTTGATTTGCTCAAAGCTCTCAATGAAAGCACCATTGATGGATTATAGGGTATCCAAGTATATTAAAATGGAGAGATTGAGCTAGATAATTGGAGAAGATGGATGAATAGTAGAAATGATATTGTGTATGAATTATGAGTTAGGAAAAGTTAGGTTTACAAATGGCTCCAAGAGGAGTATAAATAGGGAGATAATGGGCCGGGCCGCTAATATGGGCCCGGTAGCCCAACTACATAAAAGACTAATCTAGTACATAGTTACATACAAATGACATATAAGCAGTACAATAATACAAATGATATCCGTAAGATGTGTGTGGGCCGCTGTCCGGGCCCAATAGTCGTGAGACCCGGGGGTCCGAGTCTATATACTCTATCATGTAAAATACTAAGATGGAAATTCAATCGTATCGACATTTCCATTTATGTGCAAGTTTTGGTTTGTAAACTTTGTTATGTCATTTCATGGGTTACACTAAAATGGGGGAGGATTGTTAGTGATTTTAGTGTCACCGGCCGTTTTGTGTAATTGGAAAGGACATGGATGCCAATAGGGATTAGAACCGTGTTCTAATACAAGCTAGGAGGTGTGGAGTGCACATTTGTATATAAGAACGAGTTCTATTCCAAAGTGTCTAAGTCAGTGGAACTCGCGGTAGAACACTCAGTAGACCAACTCTGTGGTTCTAGACCGAGGTCTAGAGCGGTTAGGCAGTTTCGTGCAGTTTTTCCAAAAACTGTCACGGTTATTCTAAAACGTGTTGCAACTGTCTGGGACGTGTAATATGGATATATATCACCATATTTCGTACTGAGAGCAGGCAGGAGAGAGATACAACATATCTTGATCACTTTTGGCATTCAAATTAAAGATAACAATCTGTATACTCGACTAGTTTGGTTCTAGTTCTTGTGCCTAAGTTCTAGAGTGTCCTTAAGGATTATCCTAGATTGAATTTTTTGTAACCCAAGCATAGGAGAGAAATATCAATTCGGAAAGTGAACTTACACGATCCTTAAGCAATCCAAGTACTCGATTATCACACCCTACGTGATATACCCCAACACCTGTTACTAAGCTTAATTCTTTGAATGAGCTACCTATCCTTGCAATTGAACACATCAGATCAAATATCAACACCTCACTCATCCCCACTACCCCTTTTAGGAGTACAATCTTTTTATTTCTAAAATAGGACTAATATATGTCCATTCTTCACATTCTACCTCCTTCCTATAATTTCCTATAGATTTATTTTATTAATAAGAAAATCATAGTTTTATTTATAATAAAAATATCAAAATAATAAAATATTTATAAATTAATAATAAAAAATGTGAAAAATAAAAAAAAATAGAAAAATTTAAAATAAATAAATAAAATATTTAAAAAACCTTAAAAAGGTCTAAAAAATAAAATAAAATACCTAAAAAATATTTAAAAAATATGCAGGCCACTGCCAACGCCTCCTCTACCTCCCAACACCACCAGCTCCGGTCACCGGAAAAATGTCATCTTGTGTAAAAAATACCACATTTCTCTGAAAATGCCATAAAGATGACATTTTTACTCTTTGAAAATATCCAGCTTTCTCTTCAAAATTGCAATCATGATGACATTTCCACCCAACTTGGCAATCTTTTCGATCGACCTGAGGTGACGATGCTGGAAGGTAGCTGAGGTGGTGGTTGAGGTCTGTATATTTTTTATTTATTTTTTACGATTTTTATTTTTTTATTTTTATTTTTTTATATTTTATAATGATTGTTTACAAAATACTATTAGAAAGGACAAAGGAAAGGGTAGAATAGGAAGAGATGGTCTTTTTTTGGGAATTTAAACTTTAAACTCCTATTATTTCAATTATCCTTTTATTTAGTCCTATTTAAGTAAATCTCCCTTTTAAGAATACCCGATCCGCCTAAAGGTTACACTTTTTGTACATATTTTCAAAACTATTCACACCGCTTTTGTCCGTAAAGTTATATCACACACAGAAAATGCTTGTTGGACAAGTCAAGTTTTACCAACAATCAATAAATTGCTAGCCTGAAAAAGTATGATTATTGAAAATTATTGTGTGTCACATGCAACTGACCTTTGTACACAAATATTGGTTTTTGTGCAATCTAATATTGACATCTCTACAAAAAAGATACATCGTGCAACACAATATCAATATTAGTTCTTTTAAAACTTTTTTAGGTTTTCTGCTCGATTTTTTCAGAGGCAATATTTGTGGATGACCAAGCTAATTGCATCATTTGCATGTCATTGCCCAAACCGATCCATATGTACAAAAAGGTGGTAAAAAAGTGGTACAAAGACCACTTTCCTTTATACTCTGTACTACGTACATATTAATGGTTTAGATTTAATGTAGTACGTAATTAAGTACAAACTACAAAGTTTTATATCCAAATTCACATTTCTTTCTAAACGTTAACAATTAAGTTTCTAAGATCCTAGTCCCATGCTATAATTTAAATGTGGAGCCCAGTTATTATGTTTAATCACAACTTCCTAAATCCTATATATAATCTTCAGCTGATCTCATAAATAAATCACCTACCAATCCTTTTCTTTATTGAATCCATTTCTTTCTTCTTTCATTTTCTTTTTAATAAGATACATCAATAATATTGAAGACAAATGGCTTTGGTTGCGCTACCTTCAGAACCAAACCCCAAAATAACCACAAAAGCAGCCCCCTTTCCTTCTTTCTTGGATGACGAAGATGATGATGAAAGCTTTGAGCTAAAGATTGATAAAAGCATACCATGCACCAGAACCCACAAAAGTAAAGCAGCAGCAGATGGAGAAATAGATGTTTTTTCTGCAGACAAGTATTTCAACGAAGCTTTTGACCAGCAAGAACATCATCCTCGGATTTCTCGAAAAGGGGCAACTCCACAATCTTACCATCATCATCACCATACATTGATGAATCCGTTAAAAAGCCAGCCAAGAACCTCGAGTGTCCGGTCTGAATCTAGCTGGAACAGCAGAAGCCATCTTTTAGTGCAGAAAACCCCAAGAACCCATCATCTTCATCATCATCAGCCACCTGCAAACTCCATGAAACACCGAGGAAAGAGTTTCTTGGCTACCATTGGCAGAAACTATTGTTCTTGTAACGGCAAGAACTCTACACAGATTGATGACATTAGCAGTAATAGTCGTACCGGTGCTGAAAACCCACCACTCAGAAGCAGAGGAAGCTGCAAAGGAGACAACTTTAATCATATACAGATCAAGAATTCCCCTGTTCTCAATAACCCAGAGCAGAAAAACCAGCTGCAGGACCAGAAATGCTTGAATGTTCTTGACGGAAGAATGGCGAGTAGCTGGGAAGTGATTGATGATCATTACGACGACACTGGGAGCGAATCGAGCTCTGATTTGTTCGAGATAGAGAGCTTCCCTGGCGGGAATTCAAACCTGTTTCTACCCATCGACATCTCGACAAGAACATCTTTATATGCTCCGAGTGAAGCGAGCATCGAGTGGAGTGTGGTGACAGCCAGCGCTGTCGATTTCTCTGTGGCCTCCGATTCCGAAGAACCGAAAACAGCAAGAAGTAGCGATAGTAATGGTAGTATTTGTTGTTATGGAAATGTTGTATCTGGAGAAACAACGAAGAAGAAGAAGAAGAAGAAGGCAAAGAGGTTGTCAAGCATTCTTATGGGGTGTAGGAATGAGAAGGCGGTAGGAGTTGCCGGAGATGAGTACAGAACAACTACCAAAACGGTGATTGCCGGCCGTGGCCGGGAGTACCGCGGCCCAGTGGCTGCAATTCTGCCATTGAGCGGTGAGGTAGCAGGTTTTAGCGAGAGAACTTTCTCTACCTCCATCTTGAATCGCCAACCACAACTGCTATATATCTAAACGATATTCAGGGCCAATCCAGGAATTGGAGTTGTCAAAATAGTGATCCGCCTTGAATATAGAAGGAGTAATTTTTACTTAATGTAGAAGCAAAGTAAAACCACTCACAGGACTATCACTCCATCTGCAAATGTATGTTTTAGTTCTATTTTATGATTTTCTAAGAATAAAAAGAAGGATTCCCTTGTTTCTATGGATTAAGGCAATGCATATTATGTGTTCATAGTTTTTGTTGTTTAAGGATCTTTTTTATTTACTACTCCGTACTTTGGCTAAAGAACAATTTATAAACCCAATGTTATGTTCTCTTTTTTATTTTTGAAGTAATCAAAGCATATTTGGCAACATGTATAAACTAGGGAAAGGAGTGCTTAAAAATAGGAAAAGGAGTGCTTAATCCAACTTAAAACCATTTAAGCTGCATAAAATGCATCAAAAGTAGGGATTGTGTCAGTCCAAAGCCAGAACAGCAAAACCTGTGGCCTTCTTCTGACAGAAACTATCAGGTTGATATAATGTTGAGAAAACATAGAGATACAAAGTAATTACAAACTGCCTTCTAAATTTTTGAGTAACTTCAGATAATCTTTTTGAATGAAAGTTTCATGTTTTACACAACAACACATTGAAAAATATGTTGTCTTGTCTTGTCTTGCTTGTGATCACTTGTAAAGTTGGATTCAAAATTGTGTTGAGCGAAATTTGCTCAGAACCATGTGCAATTTCTCATAGCATTTATGAGATGATCTAAAATTTAAGGTGTCTTGAGGATTATCTGTCAACTTAAATAGAGCTGTATTTAATTTAGCGACCAAATCAAGATGATCTAAAAACTTCAAGGTGTCTTGAGGATTAGAATAAGATACTAAACTAAAATAAATAGAGCTATATTTAATTTAGCGAATGAAATAATAGCGTACCGAGTACTACTTATCAGTTACTTCGTGTATAAAAGGTACTCCTTTAGTTCCATTTTGTAAGATATTTTGCTTATTCACTTGGTCAGCACAAATCACTCTTAATCTCAAACTTTATACGGAGTATATCAAATATTTATCAAATTTGATTCTGATTTTTGCGACTTTGTAAAGATTTTAATGTAGTTTTTGAATATGTAATTCTTTTTTCTAAAAATAATTTGAGTGCGGACAGGGACCTGTTTGTTTTATCGTCAGTCAAACATCGTAACTCGTAAAGTGTCTTACAATTTGGGACGGAGAGAGTATTCAATCGATAACATATTCGACACATTCTCATTTGCATTTCTAATTATTTACGATTATGAAATACAATCATTATTATATAGATCTAACCTTCTTGAATGATATATATTCATTCTTGTGTAAAAAAATTGTTATCACATATAATCAATTTGGGATACACCGGTGCAACTAGATTTAAAAACTATTGTGAGTGGATCAGAACAATAACTCATTCAAATAATTAACGCAAAAAAATTATGACAATGAACATTTTTATGGAAGCTATGGTCGTAGACACCTATTATATCTCTTTGGTGAGAGGTATTGAGTTCAATTCCCACATAGGAGAGACGAGGGAGGTTTTGCTCCCTATGAATCTCTCTATTTTCACGGAGTAGTTCAGCGGTCGAGAACAAGAGGATGATAATGATAGCGAATTTGTGTGGTGAGAGGAGTAGTTTGAAAAGGGTAGATAATGTAAGTCCTGCTGAATTCATAAACGGTTAAAGTGGCTAGGTCGATATCCAGGACATGTGGTGCTTGAACTTTGAGATTATACCTCTTAGTAAGTAAGATGACAGATTGACAGCACTGAAATTTTGTCCTCTTAAGTAACCCAACGTGCCTTCACTTTTTAGGAAAGACATTTAGTACATCTTGGGACTTTAATTACTTTATGAATCATTCTGCTAATGACCATGACAAGGAGAACAACTCTATATTGCACGGAAATGTAAGATACACATGAAAGGGATCAGCCATCATTTAATATACTCCCTCCGGTCCATAATAAACTTGACATTTTGACTTCACACAAATTAAGGAAATAAATTTGACTTTACTGTAGAGTACACTGTTGTGACACTGTTTGACACTGTTTGAGACTGTTTTGCACTGTTTTGATGTAGATAATTTGCCAAACAAGGAAGGGAGAAGAAGTATGAAATTTATTTTGGACCTACCCAAAAAGGAAAGTGTGAAGTTTATTTAGGACCAGAGGGAGTATAAAAGATATTAAAAGAATTTCAAAATCGTTTCCATAGAATTTTCAAAACAGAAATGTACTCTTTAATCAGAGCTTCTGAGCTTCAAAGAAAAAGCTTCAAAATCTGAAAAGCTATAAGCCATATCTATGAACAATAAGGGCGCAGTAGTACTAGTGCTTGCAATTTGCAAATAAGTTGAGGTTTGATTCTTGTTAGGAAAAATAGTTGTTAGTTAACATTATTTGGGAAATTGATAGTCGCAAAGGTTATCTCATCAACCTAAAATTTCGAGCATACAGACAAATGGAGCCTTCAGTTTGGTTTGGGGGGTTTAGAGTTCAAAGAAGGGACAATAATTTAACATACACGTGATGAGGCCATGAGGGGAAATAAATTTAGAATGATTATATGGATGGGGACACAACCCATTGGTTCTGAAAGCTATGTTACCTTCTCCATCGGGTAGCAAGAGAGTGTCACAAGGGTTAGGTCCCGGGTTCGAATCCCACCAACTGCGATGAAAGGTTACTATGCTAAAAATGCATAGGGCCTCTGCAGGTACCGAGGACAGAACCCTACTCTTTATCTGTCAGATTGTGATTATAGTCCAATTTACATCCTCTCAATGTACCGTCCGATCAAGGTTGGGGGTCCTGACGGATGGGGTGTCACATTTTTTGTGAAAGGTCTGTTACCTAAGACTGTCTTGTAATGTAGCTTCCTGGTTTCCTAAGAATCACAAATTTCATATCACAAAACATGGTAGGTAGAAACAGGACAGGTCCTACGGGGTGCAACAGGGGCGACCGCCCTAGGCCCAAGAAAATAGCAACAAAAAATAGGCCCAAAAATATTTCTTTATATGTAGTGTGAGTAGATTTTTTTTTTTGATTTTTAAACTTAATTAATTATGCCCAATTTTTAATTTTTAAAATAAATGTAAAGAGAGACGTCTGTCTTAATTGTCTTCACATCTTTATGCTTTATAATTCTTTTAATTACAATATTACCAAGTTATGTTAAGTCTCCCAATTCCAAAACTCCCAATTGGCATAACCCATCCAAATTGATTTGTTGTTTCCAAATTCCAAAATCAACAATACTAAAAAACGCTGCAAAGCGGTGAGTGCCTCAGTGGTTTATTAAGAAGTCAATCAGTCGAGGAGGCCAAACGGTGAACGGTGATTAAAAATCTTCTTCTTTCAAGACTTCAAACAATCCAATAATGACCAATAAATCATTCTTGATAAAATGGGTGAATCAAGTTGGGATAAAGAGAGAAAGAGGAGAAAATTAGAAAAGGTAGGCTTAAGTTAGAAGGGGTCAATGGAAAGATTTGTTCTTATTAAGAAATTGAATCTTGGAAGTTCCGCGAGAAACGTTTTTAAGTAATGTTTTTCAAAGTTGAAGATTCTGATGAATTATCTGCCATCACCTATGTCTCAAGAAAGACTTAATGAGTTAGCAAATTTAAGTATTGAGCATGAGATATTGGAAAAAGCTGATCATGAAGCAATTATGGATGATTTTGCTTCACAGTGTTCTGCGAGAAAGATTTTTAAGTAATGTTTTTCTTTTATGTGATACTTGTGTTGTTACTTTTCACCAAATATGCATTTTAAATGATAACAATAAAATGAGATTCTTTTTTATTTTATGACCTTTATTAGATAATTCTATTATAATTACTATTTTAAATTAGTATAGTTTATTGTTTGTCTTGAATATAAGCCCAAAATTTTATCTCGCCCATAGGTCCGAAAATAGACAGGATCGACCCTGGGTAGAAAGAAAGCCTTCATTATTCTGGTTTCGAAAAATTGTTCGGAATAGGAGTGAAAATTAAAAACAAGGAATCTTCTCTTAGCACAAGTACTACATTTTCCCCTAAATATGAATAAATGTTGTGGAATCATATTTTCCTATTATGATACTATATGATGGATAGTGTACCCGGGGGGTAGCTTATCCGATGGGTTATTGCGGGGAGTAATAAGAGAGAGGTCAGAGCAAGTAAATGTAGAGAGAGAAAGTATATTGTAAAGTGTGAAGCGTTTTCAGCGTGGTTACAAATGGGGAAATGGGATGCTATTTATAGTAGCAATAAATGCCGGATAGGGACACGTGTCAAGCGTTCATTGGCCGAGAGGTCACCTCAACTGGTTGGCGCTGGCAACCGCATGTGGCCGCATTTCTTGCGGCTGTTGGATGGGACGTTGTACAGGGTACGGTGATCTGTACGCATGTGGCGCGGATATCGTGTCGGAAGAGGTGCCCTCGGCTGTAGAGGACTGGCCGAGGGCTCTGAGTACTGGGGACCCCCTTGGTGCCGAGGGCTCCAGGTGCCGAGGGCTACTGCTTTCCGCCGTTTTCCCAGTAGCTTTGTTTTTGCGGTGTTGGCCCTCCTGTGAGAGTTAGAGCCCTCGGCCAGGGGGGCGAAGGCACCCCTGGTGCGCATTGTGGGCTGCTTGGTACTCTGGGCGCTGTGATTTGGGCCTGTTGGACCTTCTGGGCCTGTTGGGCCTTGATTGGAGTAGTAGGAGTATGTGGGCCAGGGGTTCCCGGGCCATATACTCCATCAGGAGTCCCTCACTCCTTTTGCCGAAAGGTACTTGAGGGAAAAGGAGTAATAGTGTTTGTCCTCTGCCGTTGTTCCGTTTGTAGTTTGTAGAGTTGTGGGTAGTTTGCTTGATGGATAGTCTACCCGGGGGTATATATCCGAAGGGTTATTACGGGGAATAACTTAGAGAGAAGTCATAGCAAGTAAGTAAAAGTAGAGAGAGAGTGTATTCAGTATGAATGTCGTTTTCAGCGTGGTTACAAATGAGGAAATGGGGTGCTATTTATAGTAGCAATAAATGCCGGGCAGGGACACGTGTCAAGCGCTCATTGGCCGAGGGGTCACCTCAACTGGTTGGCGCTGGCAGTCGCATGTGGCCGCATTTAATGCGGCTGTTGGATGGGACGTCTGTGCGGGGTACGGTGATCTGTACGCATGTGAGGCGGATATCTTGTCGAGTGAGATGCCTTCTGCTATAGAGCAGTAGCCGTGGGCTCTTCCACCCGATGGCACCCTGGTGCCGAGGGCTCACAGTGCCGAGGGCTACTG